CTTTCCATATAGCGTAGCACCGGCTAGCGGGTACTTTTTCCCTCTTTTTCCGGCCCCATAAAATCGTGGTTCTATCAGGCCAGGGCCAGGGCTGAACTAGTGACGTCAACACTCTTGACTGCTGTTTAGTCAGAGAGAATCGTCACAAGATCGCACGCAAGATCATCCCTAGCGTCGCATATATATCTAGAAGCAAGCTTGCAGCATTTTTATACACAGCATTTTTGTAAACATTGTTGTGTGTGTTTTGTGAGTTGTGTCGCATTGAAGATGACGCCACTGCAGTTTTACCAGTGTCGCTCCGCCCAAAAAGCCCGCCAAAAAGCCGATCGCCCCGCCTACACTGCGTTGCTACCCCAGGTCCTAAACTGTAATGGAAATGCGCCACGGCCTCGGACGGCCAGCGAGGCAGCCCGAGGCCTGAGCGAGGACGCTTAGGGACGCTTAAACGGGGCTACCCCGCTGCAGTGGAAATGTGCCATTAGTGCCGGGGCACTAAGTGCCGGCACTAAGTACGGCAAAGTACTTGGTGTGAAAGCGGCTATTGCTGTTATAAAGCTTTCTCCTTATAAAGGATTCCTTCAGTGATCATTATTTAGGAGATTGATACCAGAAAACTAATCCTCAGATATCTCATGATCACCAAAATAAGTGTTTCTCTGATGCAGCATGGCCAAAAAAAGATGTACAAGAGAGGTTGCAAACAGAGTGTGACTAATGTCTTCTCATCTTATGTCTCTGATAACAAAAAAATCCAGATGTTCAGGAAGATTTTACTGGGGGCCGTATTGTCTGTATAACTCTCCTCATCTCCAAAACATACAGAGAAGGTGATTTAAACAGTTAAAAAGCATTTCCCCAGCAGTTTAAAAAAGGTGGTTTCTCGGAAGCTGTTTAGCCAGCTCCAGCTAACATTGCTCTGCTTGGTTCTCTGAGAACTTAATATCCAGATGTCTGATGACTAAATCCTCCACTCAGTTAAAATATAAAGTGTATCATAACAATATGACTGTAAACTGGATACAAATACCAGTCCCTTGTGCGAGAGATGCCAGGAGAATGAAGGGCTCCTCATCCTCCTGGATCGGCAGCCTTCCAAAGGGTCGACCATCACTTCCTCCTTCAGCGCACCACTACACCACAGGACTCTCTGACTCCGCCCTGAGCTATCTATTCCATTCTATTGGGAGGTCCAAGGTCCCAGACACACCCTGTCACCTGTGGTGTCATCATCCTTAAACATTTGCCTTGAGGAAATAGAGGTTTGGATGAAAGAAAACTTCCTGCAGCTCAATAGCTCCAAAACAGAGGCTATTTTAATTTTGAACAACCACTCATCCCCAATAACCCATATTGTCTTTTCTGGCAAAAACATACTCTTTTCCTCATCAGTTACCATCCTGGGTGTATGGCCATCTGACCTTTGACACCCACATCAAACATATGTGCAAAACCTCCTTCTACCACCTCAGGAACATTGCAAAACTCCGTCCTAAACTCTCCCTGTCAGATGTTGAAAAACGGGTACATGCCTTCGTCTCCTCGAGGCTCGACTACTGCAACGCTCTCCTCATCGGGACTCCTAGCAGGAGCCTTCAGAAGCTCCAATGCATACAGAACAGGATCCTGGTGAGATGATCAAACCCTTTCTTCACTCGCTCCACTGGCTTCCTGTCTCTTTCAGGATCAAAAACAAGATCTCACTACTCACCCATCAGTGCATCCACGGGAACTCTCCTTCCTACCTCAAGGAACTACTCTCACCACAAACCTCCACATGCAACCTCCGTTCTACAACCAACCATATGCTTCGCACCCCCCAGGACCCAACTCCACAGCATGGGGAAACCCTCCCTACACACAGAACAAGCGCAGTGCGCAGGGGGCCTCATGTTATGTGCAAATACGGTAAATGTTTCCCCGAAGTGAGGCTCTGACGCTAACAGTTCACGAGCGTGCTCTACCACCCCCCCAATGTTTATGTATGAGTGTTACGCCCTGCTGTAGCACTTTGGGATTGCTTTTAGCTATGAAATGTGCTTTAAAAATAAAATGTATTATTATTATTATGAAAAAGTCAATTTCTGACCGCCTCACATTATACCTTTAAATGTAAGGCAGGCGGGGTACAAATAGAATTGTCCTTACCTTCAGTGTTGAATAAGGCTGCCTTGGCCACAGTCTCCACCAGGTCTTTGCTGCGAGCCTCAGACACGTTGAGGAGACACGCCACCAGTCTGTTGCCCAGAGAACAGGCCGCCATGCTGCAGCTGCTCAGAGGGGATGGGGAAAAGAAGGGCAAGGACCAGACTCAAGTTAACACAGGCTGAAGAACAGCCGCCCATTCAATATTTCACTTACACCCGAACAAAGCAAAGATAATATCTAATGTTAAAGTCGACTTCTTGAAAATTAGTCTTTGCTTCTACAGCATTACTTGTTCTGGTATCATGATCTAATGGTAGCTTTTGCTATCAAACTTTGCACAGACTCTACTGTGTATCTACAGTTACTGTCACTTTGATAACTGCTCTCAATTTGGCACAATTTAGCATTCAAGCAATATTCCATAATTGTCTTTTGTGGCCATTGTGGCCAAATTAAAACAAATGTATGGACTTACCAGCACCTTTAAATGTGTCACCATAAGTCAATAACGTTTGTATTTGGTCTACTGTATCTGTTCAGTTTTGGCAATAAAGTCATTTACCAAATGTTTGTCAACCATAAACTGCTGAATTGAACACTCAGTTCTTGAAATCTCCAGAAAATTGCCTCAGTGCTGAAAGTTTGTTTCCTACAGTTACAACACATGTTCAAAGTCCATGCTGAAATAAGCTAACTCACTACATCTGCAATTTAAAAATATAAATGTACTAAAATAATCCTTCCATGGAATTTGTGATACCTGCGTTACATTGAATAGTCTTTCATCATTTACATGGTCAGTGCATTAAAACAAACAGAGAACTAACTTTAGTGCAGCTGCTGCCAGAGTCGATGCACGACTATTTTGAACATGCAGACTTCAGTGCAAGATGATTCACTACTGTTTCCAACCTAATGGGTTGGACAATGCAATTTTGCACCATGATGTCACTGTCAATAAACCCTAATGGTTTTTTCTTTGTTCGATTGTGTGAATTATTGTGTATTGTTTGATATATGCATACGTTTATGTTTATACCGTTAAGAATATTGTTCATATGGATGTCTTTCTAATTTTCTTAGAGGAATGTTATGCTTACATTGTCTTACTTACTTTTTTTTATAAATGGATCCCGAAAGACATTAATAAATGATGATAGAGTATGTTGATTCCTGCTGTTGCTTGAAATGTTTTATGTAATATTTATGTTTATATTTGTTTCTATGTATTCAATGATAGCCTTCGACTGACTGAATGGTCTGGTGTTGTTGACTGAATAGTCAAAACGGAAGTCGATAGGAGTATATGATCTCGACACACTAACCTATCTTTGAAATCAGGAAAAAAAAAAGACATGCGCAGAAGTGATAGCGGTTTGCTGGCAGTTAGCTCCGTTCTTATTATATATCCATGGTTAGCTCTAGCTTTGCTGGCTGTCTGATAAACAGCGCCTCTGCGTGGACAAAACGACCCATTACTGTCAGAATTAAGTATAGTATAGGGAGATTCTGGAACTGCAAAGGACTGCCAGCGGATATAGAATAGCGTGAAATTATAAGCATTTCGGCTACAGCTACTTACAGGCGTCTTGTTTTGACGTTAGCAGCAGATAACGAGATGCTAACAGTGACAGTTATCTGTTAGCTAGCTGACAGCCGCACCATGGAATGACTGCAGAGAGGACAACAAATCCGATTCTTATTTAGAGTCCATGCTAGCGTTGACAGTTAGGTTCACTCTATTATCTGTGGCAAAAACGATGTCCTCTGTATCAACCATGACATCCTCTGAACCCCCGGGGAGCCCGGAGCAGAGGCTCCAGAAGCTATTGGCGGTACCCGGAGCCGAGCCGAGCCGAGTGAACGATCTGCTCCTGCTCCGGCCCGAAGCTGCCACTGAGCCGGGGGAGGGGAGAGGCAACAGCCATGTGGTGTTTTTTCACGGGGATATCCAAGTGAGTGGGATGGAGGTTAGACACATATTATAAGCAGTGTGATGCCAGAAAGGTGATGGCTGGCCGGAATGAGTGATTTTAGTCACTTATTTTTTATTTAGCGATATAGGAGTTACATACACGTACAGTGTCACATATACACAGAAGACAATAAGGAGCATTTACAAGTATCCAAGACAAATAACAAAATATACATGGAGGTGTGTGTGTGTTTGATGAAGACTGCATGGCTCCTGCCTCAAAGGGCGAGTTTTCATGTTACTTCAAATGCAAAAAAATGTAAGAAACATATTGAAATGATAGTAGATTCAGACATTGAAGCCAAAGCAGGATATCTTTACTGGAAGATGTTATGACTCATACTACCTCGGTTTGTGCGTAAAGTTTAACAGATTAGCACCCACACTCTGCATATAGATTAGGCAGTTATTGGCTCAAGAATCACTAATATCCTGTGCATATATGGCTTAATTAAACATAATCTTTAAGTTTTTTTTTTCCTGTTTGCGTGTGAGAGTAATAAATGACACAATTATAATTCAAATGAAATGAGTAACAATATAATAGTCATATATCCTAGGAGGGGGGGGGGCATTTAAATAGTAGCATGACCTTAGAGAAGCAGAAAGGGGTGGTGGCTGAAATCGGATTGAGGATTATGATTTAAATGTATCAATGAATGGGTTCCCGATTGCATCAAAATCAGTGGTTTGTTTTTTCCAATGAATCCATAAGCAGGTTTTTCCAAATTGTGATATTGCTTTTGTGTCGTGATTTCCAATTCATGAGGATAGTTTGTTTTGCAATGATTAGGGCTATGGACAGAATTCTACTTGACGTAATGTTGAAGTTCACATTTGAAATGTCTCCTCGTAAACAAAGGGATGGAAAAAGGGGGATGTGGCAGTCCAGCAAAAGAGACAGGTTGTCAGTGATGTTATGCCAGAATTGCTTAACTGGTGTGCATTCCCATGTGGCATGCATGTAGGTGTCTGTGGTGTTGAGTTCATAATATTTCTTATCACTAAACCAACAACGAACAGAGAAGTTGCAGGCAATGTTTTCAGAATTGTGAAAATGCATTTGCCAACCCGATCAAACAGCTCCAGCTTTTCAAATAGTATATTTTATTATAACGGTTTTCAACACAACACAATCAGTCAAAATGGTCAAAGTTGGGGACACTTGGTTTTGACTGGAAAGTATGAATATGTGGAATGCGTGAACTAGTAGTAGTATGATACTGTGCAAAATGGTGATACCCAATCAAGTAAAAGCAAAGTACTTTGAATGTGTACTTTAGTGCAGTGTTGAGTACATACATGTAGTTACATTCCAGCACTCCACCCACTAACGTTTGAATCCTGGACTTGAGTTTATGAAGCCACAAAATAACAATGGGCTGATTTACTAAGAAATATGTATTTGATTTGATTTAGTTATTATTATAGTATATTATTTAAGATACAATTGATGTCCTGGTGTATTTCTTTCATGTGCTGCTATATGGCTCACTGATGCTGAAATATGTGTTTCTAGGTAATGGCATGCATTTTTCTGATGTGAAAACCTTGCACACATCATGTGACTCCTTATCGGTGTCATGAAAGCTTATCATCAGATTGAGTCCTGTGTTTACCTACAATTGTTGGTTATTCACACAACTAAAATGACATGTTCATCTGAAATGCAGGTGTTATGTCCTCTTCTTGACTCCATGGGTTCATTGTGTTGTACTTATTTGGATTCATTTATTTATTATTCACCAGCTGACTGACTTATTCAAGAAATTGCCTTTTACGTTCAACAGAAGGTCAATTACCCGCTCTTACTGTAATACCAAGTGAAACAGCAACAGGGCTAACTTGACAGTCTCCTTCCATGTGAAGGCTGGCCTCCTCCATTTCCAAACTCAACTCATAGAAACTTGCTTTGGAGATTCCTGCTGTTTAGGTAATGGCACTATTTAGTTCTTGCAGAGCTGTGGACTCTGAGCTCATGTGAGGCTGCCAGTGTGACGAAGGCAGTGGTCCCTTTCGTGTCGGACACAGTGCAGAGCATGATGCTGTATCAGACATGTGATGTGTTTCAGTGTGGAGAGCCTCTCTCTGTGTGTTGTGTGCAGAACTTCCAGGAGGAGATGTCCCTGCAGCCTGACGGGGCCCCGTGGCTCTCCTGGAGTCTGGAGCAGGTGGCCCTCACTCTGGGCCGCCGCTTCCCCGACCGACACGTCTGGGTGGTGCGGGCCTCACGCATGCACCTCCACAAGTTCAGCTGCTATGTGAACTTCGTGGACAGCAACATGTTCGGGGCCCCCGAGCACGGGCCCTACTCTGCTGACTGTGGATCCTTCCGTCACCTCAGGTCTGTTTGTCTTCATAATCTTCTGTTCTCCCATCAGATCCGGCCCTGGGTCCAAATGTCACTGTGTGCATGTATTTGTGACCATTAAAGAGGCTTTCATCCTGTCTCTCTGACATGCTCCACACTACAGGTTACTGCAGGCTGAGAGTGTTGTGCTGAGTCAGCTCTGTTTGTGATGTTGCAGGGCCCTGCTGAGTCACGGCATGCAGCGAGCCAACCTGCCAGACCCGCTGCAGCCACAGGGGGGGGCTGACGGCGTCCCCTCAGGGTTCTCCCTCACACTGGTGGGATTCAGCAAAGGATGCGTGGTGCTCAACCAGGTTGCGTACGAGCTGGCGGGGGCCCGTGCTGACCCCGATATGTCCCACTTTGTGAAGAGCGTCTCTGACATGTACTGGCTGGACGGGGGGCACCCGGGGGGCAGTGAGACCTGGGTGACCAACAAGCGGGTGCTGAAGGAGCTGGCTTCCAGCAGGGTGTCCCTTCACGCCCACGTCACCCCCTACGAGGTGTGTGACCCCATGCGGGCCTGGGTGGGCCGCGAGCACGCGCTCTTCATCAAAACCCTGGAAGAGTTTGGGGCCTGTCCCAGCAAGAAGCTGCACTTTGAGGGCGAGCCCCCCTCCATCCAGAGCCACTTCAGGGTCATCCAGGAGTTCTGAGTTTGCTTTAGCTTGTGAGAGTCGTATTAGCTGCTCCTGGCAGCTGCTGCTGTTTGTCCTTTCTTCTGTTGAACCCCCCAACCAAGAATGCACATCTGATTTGGAGTAGAGTTTGGTTCCAACATGAATGATTGTTGTTGTTTATGAGGAATTTTATCTTCTCAGGTGTACAGGAAGTGTCATTTTGAGACTTTTATTGTAGGGATTCTTGACTTCCGTTTAAATGCTGGGCCTTACTTGGTCAACTAGTTTGAGAAAGTTATGTTGTCTGTCCTGTAGTTTGATGCATACGATGTATTGTTCACCAATAATCCTATAATAATAATAATAATAATAATAATAATGGATTACATTTTTTATTAGAGCGCTTTTACAGGTGCTCAAAGCGCTTTACAAATACACATTACACATATTAGACATGTAAGAGTCATTACTGTGGACATTACCCACAGGAGCAAATGCGGGTAAAGTGTCTTGCCCAAGGACACAACGGCCTGACGCAGTGGCGGCCGAGGCGGGATTCACCAACGCCCCTTGTGTTTGTTTAAAAATGACATTCCAGTTACTTTCTGTTCTGGAGCTTTCCCTCACCTCTCATGATCATTCAGCAAGCTTTAAAGTCCATCTGCTGACGACCGTGTGCATGTAGACAAGGAATGTTGTCAACTGTTGTCTTTTTACAAGGAGCTCCATGAAGCAGTATTCTTAGACTCTTGTCTTTCACAAGCCGGCTCTTTAATGAAAAACTTTTGAATTGTACGTGTTTTATTTGAATTATAAACAGAGCAGGTTCACATGCTGTCTATTTGATGGATCTTATCCTCACAAAATACCACACTATCTTATCAATGATGATGTTTTTCATGGCTAAACGAACTGTTATATCATTATGGAATGCCATTTAAGCCAAAATTAAATAAATAAATAAATACATAAATAATTAAATAAATACATATATATATAAATATGCCTATGAAATAAATCATGAAATAAATAAATGAGGCAATAAATATGTATACATGTACATTTAAATACACATTTATTTATTTCATGGGACTTTTATTTCATAATGAGACATTTATTTCAAGAGACTTTTATTTCATAATGACACATTTATTTATTTCAAGAGACTTGTATTTCATAATGACACGTTTATTTATTTCAAGAGAATCGTATTTCATAATGACATATTTATTTATTTCAGATGACTTGTATTTAATAATGACGCATTTATTTATTTCAGGTGACTTGTATTTCATGATGAGACATTTCATGATGAGACATTTCCATTCCTTATATGCAAATGAACGGGGCGTGGTTAGCTCACAGATCCAGAGACCCAGACCAAAGCAACAGCACCACAACA